TGAGCACAATTCAGTGTTCTGGAATACTCATATTACACAATGTTGTCCATAGCTTGTCAAGATCCACACAATCGAAAGCCTTTGCAGAGTCAATAAAGCACAGGTAAACATCTTTCTGATATTCTCTACTTTTAGCCAAGATCCATCAGACAACAGCAATGATATCCCTCATTCCACGGCCTCTTCTGAATCTGGCTTGAACCTCACTGACTTAGTGACCCCATATACAATGTAAAGAAACACTACCTGGTCCTATACCATCCGTGCCATCATTGGCATGTGTGACTCATTGTTGCAGACACTGTGTCACTCCATCTCGTTGGGGGTCTTCCTCTTTTTTTAGGACCCTCTACTTTACCAAGCATGACTGATGTCCTTCTCCAGGGATCCCTCCCGACAATGTATCCAGAGTACGTGAGATGAAGTCTCATCATCCTTATTTCTGGCTATACTTCTTCCAAGACATATTTGTTCATTCTTCTACATGGTCCATGATATATTTAAGATTTTTTTTGCCAAGGCCATAATTCAAATGTATCCATTCTTCTTCATTCTTCCTTACTCATTGTCCAGCTTTCACATGCATATGAGGTGATAGAAAAAACCCTGGCTTGGGTCCTGTGCTTCTTTGTCTTCAAAGGGATATCCTTGCTCCTTTAACACTTTAAAGAGATCTTTTGTGGTAGATTTGCCGAATGCAGTCCTTTATTTGAATTCCTGACTGCTGCTTCCATCTATTCTGAAGCGCTCTTGAATTTCTGGACCTTCCTGCCAATGTACTGCGGCATCTGGGTTTCTGTTACCTTCAGCAACATTTTGTGTGTGATATTAATGATATAGTTGAATAATTCCTGCATTCTGTTGATGACCTTTCTTTGAAATGGGCACCAATACAGATCCCTTCTAGTCAGTTGGGCAGGTATTGTTATTGTTAAGTGCCGTCAAGTCTGTTCCATCTCCTAGTGACCCTGGATAGGGTTTCCAAGGAGCTACTGGTGGGTTTGAAGCACCAACTTTGCAGTTTGCAGTCCAGTGCTGCTCCTACACTGCCACACCAGGCCTCTAGTTATGCAGGTAGCAGCTGTTGGCAAAAGTCAGGGAGTGCTTTGAGCAGTGCATGTGTGTATTCAGTGTGATTGGGATTCTGTCCGTTCCTGGAGCCTTGGTTTCTGAAAAGCCTTCAGTGCGGCTTAAGACTTCTTTCAGTGACGTCTATTCTTTATTTTTTTAATGTTTTATTGTGACTTATGTGATAGTTTACATGGGAGAACATTAGCTTTACATTCATCCTATCCTACATCGTTTTATTGCCATAGTTACAAACCCCTCCATGCATCATCACCCAACCAAAGGGTATACCCTGTAAGCCTGCCCCCCTTGGTCATCAGTATACAGCCCCTCTCCCTCTCTGAGTCTAAAGTCCCCAGCCACTCCATCTCTCCATGTCATCATCTCTGCCACCATCTCTGGAGTTACTGCTTCTCTGGGTAGGGTCCTGCTCTCTGCTCTTCTCCCTTGATGGTCCCAGGGACCTCCGCTCCTGGACTGCAAAGTTAATCACTCCCCTCCTTTTGGTACTAAACGTCTACCTTTACATTTCCAACCCTCACAGTCTGTCCTGATAACAGTTATTCCCTATTGTGTCACAAAAGACCTATCCCCATCTCCTTTCATAATACCATGTGTTCTTGATCACACACTATGTCTTGAAATGGTTGAATGTCAACCAAATCTTTTTTACATTCAACACAAAATCAAACCCATTGCCACCAAGTTGGCTTTGATGCATGGAGACCCTGTGAGGTAGAGCAGAGCTACTCCTTAGGGTTTCTGAGACGGTAAATCTTTTCAGAAGCAGACGACCTCATCTTTCTCCTGTGGAGCAGCTGGTGTGTTTGGACCACCAACCTTGCAGTTAGCAGTCCAGTGCTTATCCTACTGTGCTACCAGGACATCTTTTGGGTACAGTGACTCAGTATTCCTTCCATCATCTTTTGATGCTTCCTGCTTCATTCAGTATTTTGCCCATAGAATCCTTCAGTCTGGCTATTTGAGATTTGAATTTTGTCTTCCATTCTCTCAGCTTCAGAAATGCTGAACATGTTTTTTGCTTTTAGTTTCATCATAGTACTTTACTTTGGGTTCTCGAGTTGCCCTTTGAAATCTTCTGCTCAGCTTCCTCATAATGTCTTCCAGTCACTTTACCTATTCTACACTCAAGAGCAAGCTTTAGAGTCTTTTCTAATATCTATTTTGGTCTTTCTTTCTTTTCTTTTTAAATGACCTTTTGCTTTCTTCATTTATGATGTCCTGATGTCATCCCACAACTCTCCTGATCTTCTATTGTTCGTGTTTAGCATGTCAAATATACTTTTGAGGTGGTCTCTAAATTCAAGTGGGATGTCTTCAAGGTTGTACTGGCTCTCACAGCCCTGGTTTAATTGTCTTCAGCTACAACTTGGACGCCATAGGAGCAACTGATGGTCTGTTCTACAGTCAACCCTTCATATCGTTCTGACTGATTGTTTTGAGCTTCTCCATCCTGTCTTTCCACGGATGTCAATTTGACTCTCTTTCCACGGATGTCATCTGACCAGTCCTTGTGTATAGTCCCAGTTTATGTTGTTGAAAAAAGGTGGTCTTTGCAATGAATAAGTCATTGGTCTTGCAGAATTCTATTAGCCTTCTTTGTTTACAACTTCTACATTCAAATCACCAGTAATTATCAATGCATATTGATCCATGGCTGATAAATTTCAGACTGTGTTAGTTGGCAAAAATCTTCAGTTTCTTCACTTTAGTGGTTGATGTATTAATTTGAATGGTAGTTGTATTAATTCATCTTCGTACTGATACCACTGGGAGCATTGTGCTTCAAGGTAGATCTTGAAATTTTCTTTTTGACAGTGAATGTGACACCATTACTCTTCTATTTATCATTCCTGGTGTAGTAAACCACAGATTGTTCAATATTCCTAGAATATTGATATTTCTTAGTCTCATTTCCAGTTTTCCGAGATTCATACTTTGTACCTTTCACGTTCCAGTTACTAATGGGTGTTTGCAGATGTTTCTTCTCATTGTAAGTCACACCACATCAGCAAATGAAAGTCCCCAAAGCTTGGCTTTAGCTACGTCATTAAGGTCGATTGTACTTTGAGGAGGCAACCCTTCCCCAGTAATATTTTGAGTGCCTTCCAAGATGAGTGATGGTTCGCATTGTATCAGACAAGTTTAGAATCTAGTGAAGAGTTGTTGTTGTTACGTGCTGTGGAGTCGGTTCTGACTTATAGCGACCCTGTACAGGGTTTCCGAGTCTGTAAATCTTTACGGGAGCAGAAAGCCTCATCTTTCTCCCGCGGAGCAGCGGTAGTTTCAAACTGCTGACCTTGTGGCTGGCAGCCCAGTTCGTAACCACTAAGTGGGAGGGACTTATTGAAGAGTAGGAGAGGCTTGGAAAGTGGTAGGGGTGTGTTGGCAAGCAATAGGATCTAGTGAAGAGTGGAAGTCTTGGTGGAAAGTGAGAAGGATTTATAGAGAAGTGGAAGGTTCTAAAAGAGAAGCTGTTGTTGTTAAGTGCTATTGAGTTGGTTCCTGTATAGGGTTTTCAAGGAGCAGCTGGTGGGTTTGAACTGCTGACCTTGTGGTTCAAACTCCAGTTCTGAGCCTACAGCGCCACATAGTTGTTGTTAAGTGTCATCGAGTGGATTCCGACCCATAGCGACCCTGTATAGGGTTTCCGAGGAGCAGCTGGTGTGCTTGAACCCACAACCTGGCAGTTCATCGTAGGAGGGGCTAATAAAGAAGCAGGAGGGGTTTTGTGAGGGGAAGTAGTCATGGCCAGGGGTAGGAGGGGTTATCAAGGAGTAGGAGGGGTATGGCAAGGCATATAGCTGCTTAGGGCAGAGTAGGAGGGGTACTGAGGGGTGTGGGTGGGATCTAAGCAAGAGTGGGACAGGCAGGGTGGTGGGAGTCCAGTCACAATTTGCCGTGGAGGCGGTTCCGACTCAGAGTGACCCTGTATAGGGTTTCCAAGGAGCAGCTGGTGGGCTTGAACCACCGACCTTATGGTTAGCAGCCCCATCAGGACTCCTTCACAAAGAATGGCTGACTGGCTGTGTACCATCAGGTCAGGACCAACTCATAGTGACCCTTTATAGGGTTACTGAGGCTGTAAACCTTTAAGGAAGCAGAAAGCCTCGTCTTTCTCTCACAGAGCGGTAGGTGGATTTAAACTGTTGACCTTGCAGCTAGGAGCCCAACGTGTCAACCGCTAAGCTATTGGGGCTCCTTTCACAAAGAATCATCGTTACGTGCCATGGAGTCAGTTCTGACTCATAGCGACCCTGTATAAAGTTTTCGAGGAGTGGCTGCTGGGTTTGAACCACAGACCTTATGATTAGTAGTCCACTGCTTATCCTACAGCACCACACCAGGACTCCTTACAAAGAATGTTGTTGAGTACCTTCTAGTCGATTCGATTCATAGTGGTCCTGTATACTTTCCTTGGAGCAGCTGGTGGATTTGAACTGCAGATTTTGTGGTTCAAAGTCCCGTGCTCATCCTACGGTGCCACACCAGGAATCCAGTCACGAAGAATTTTGTTGTTGTTGTTAAGTGCCATCGAGTCAGTATCGACCTATAGCAACCCTGTATAGGGTTTCCGAGGAGTGGCTGGTGAGCTGGAACCGCTGACCTTGTAGTTCAAACTCACTTTGTAGACCAGCTCATTAACCCACAGCGCCAAGCCTTAAACTAGAGTAGAAGCCATCAGGCCGACTGGCAGATCAGTGGAGAAGGAGAAGGCTCACACGACGGTGGGCGGGATGTAAAAGGTAATGGGAGGAGCTTAAGGGACAATGGGAGGCCAGTAAAGGAAAGTGGGCGTGACATAAGGATGATGGGAGGGGCTGGATGGGTCTGTGTGCTTGGGAGGGGAGGGCTCCTCAACTGACCCCATGTCTCCTCCCGACTCCAGAGAGAGCCCCCCACCCTTCACCATGGGCGACACCCCGCTGCCAGTGCCCTCGGCCCCCGCCCCGGCCTCCACACCAGCCCCGGCCCCACCCGCTGCCACCCCACGTGTCCCGTTCCACTGCAGTGAGTGTGGCAAGAGCTTCCGCTACCGCTCGGACCTGCGGCGCCACTTCGCAAGGCACACGGCGCTCAAACCCCACGCGTGTCCGCGCTGCGGCAAGGGTTTCAAGCACAGCTTCAACCTGGCCAACCACCTGCGCTCGCACACTGGGGAGCGGCCCTATCGCTGCTCCGCCTGCCCCAAGGGCTTCCGAGACTCCACAGGCCTGCTCCACCATCAGGTGAGTCTCCCAGGCCCGCTTTCCTGCGCTGGACACCCTGTCTGAGCCCCTTGGGCCCCACTTCCATCTGGGAAAAGTGCAGCTCCTTCTGGCCCAACACCTAGCTGAGAATTGGCATTCCCATACTGGGTATACCAGCAGCCATGTAACTGATTCCAACTCATCACAGCCCTCTAGGCAGAGTGGAATTACCCCATAGGGTCTCAAGACTGAAATCTTTTTGGAAGCAGACTGCCATGTCTTTCTTCTGTGGAGTAGCTGGTGTGTTTGAACTGACAACTTTCAGTTAACAGTCAAGCTCTCAACCACTGTGCTATACCAGGGAAGGTAGAGGGTCACTAAAAAGGGAGACCTTCAAGGAAAGGCATTGACACACTGGCTGCCACAGTGGTCAGACACAGCAGTGATGGTGAGGCTGGTACAGGACGGGCAGAGCTTTGCTCTGCTGTCCATGGAGCTGCTGTGAATTGTAACTGACCCAATGGTGCCTAACACCAACATAACCAGACATACCAATGTGACCCCTTTCCAGTTTGTCCTTTCCTTTCGGTCCTGTGGCTAGAGCCCTAATTCAGTGCCTGGCCTCCTGGATGTTGGTCTGAATTTCTAAGGGACCTGCTCACATCCTGGTAACCTTGTGGTTATCTGCTAGCAGCGCATCAGGACCCTCAGTACGGCGGTGATGTGCCGTGGAGTCGGTGCTGACTCATAGCAACCCTCTGTAGGGTTTCCGAGGCTGTGTATCTTTACAGGAGCAGAAAGCCTCATCTTTCTTCTGTGGAACAACTGTGAGTTTCAGACTGCTGAGCAAAACTGCCCCATAGGGTTTCCCAGGTCGTCATCTTTGCTGGAACAGATTGCAAAGTCTCTCTGTCACAGAGCAATCTTTCTGTTAGAAGATGGGTGGTCCTTCATCACTGTGCCACCAGAAGTAGTTTCCCTGCCACCACCACTGCCACGAGTCTGCCCCACAGGGTCTCCAAGGTTGCCAGCCTTTATGTAAGCCAGCGGTCACAACTTTCTCCCATGGAGCGGCTGGTGGGTTTGAACTGCTGACCTGTTGGTTAGCAGCCAAGCACACAACCACTGCGCCACCAGGGCTTTTTTCCCTGCTCACCCAACCCACTCTCACTGCCACTGACTCTGATTTACATGACCCTATATAGGGTTTCTGAGACTAGAAAGCATTTGGGTTGCAGAAAGCCTCATCTTTCTCCCATGGAGTGGCTGGTGGGTTTGAACTGCTGACCTTGCAGTCCAGCGCTTATCCTACAGCTCACTCACTCTTACTGCCATGGAGTCAAGTCTGACTCAGAGCAACCCTATGTAAGGTTTCTGAGGCTGTAAATCTTTACGGGAACAGAACACCTCATCTTTCTCATGCGGTAGGTTATAATTCAACTGAATATTTCATGAGCGCTTAGTGTATACAGGCGCAATGCTAGGCTTTTTAGGGGGAAATAATGTGTGCGCCAACAGTGAGGTGCTCTGCTGCATTATAATCTTAGACTGGAGGTTTGAGCTCATCAAGAGGCACATGGGAACAGAGGCCTGGTGATTTGCCTCTAAAAGGCCACAGCCTTGAAAACCCAGGGGAGCAATTCTACTTGGTACACGTGGGGTCCCCATGACTTGGAATTGACTTTGTAGCAACTGTTTTTTTGTTTGCTTATTGGTTTTGTTTTATTTTATTATAAGTCCTAACCTGCCCTGGGAGATACAGAGTCTCTATACCATAAACACTGGACTGCAAACCACAAGGTCTGTAGTTCGAGCCTGCCAGCTGCTAATTGGGAGAAAGATGAGGCTTTCTGCTCCTGCAAAGGTTTAAAGGCCTCGGAAACCCTCAACAGGGTTGCTGTGAGGCTGTGAGGCGCAGTGCCTCAGAGGCATCTAGCAACAACATCCCTCCCTGGTTGGACTGACCCTCGGGGCTGTCTTCCTTATCTGATATCTCAGGACAGCATTCCTGCAAAGAGGGTTTAGCCTTATCTCTAGGTGCTTGATTCTCCGTCTCTAGCTTCAGTTTGTTTCCTCCCATGAGTATCTGATTCTCATTTTCCCCAAACCACCTCCTTATCTCTCCCTCCACCTTCTTCCGTGACCAGAGGGGAGACGCCACCACCTCCCCAGCGGCCCAGGCTAGACAGACAGCCCCATGGCTTCCACATCCAAAGCCACAGGGATCCCAAACAGTGTCCCAGAGTCTCAGACCATGCTCACAAAAGGCAGTGCAAACGATTAAGTGTTCAACTATGAGCTAAAAGATTGGTGGTTCAAACCCACCCACAGGTGGTACCTGGGAAGACAGGCCCGGTGGTCTGCTTCCAAAAGTTCACAACCTCAAAACCCTATAGAGCAGTTCATTCTGCACACCAGGGTGCCATGCATCAGAATCCACTTAACAGCAACTGGTTTGGTTTGGTTTTGGAAAGTGGGAAAATGTTACGGTCCGTGTAGGATCAGTGGGATGGTTTCCTAACTTGGAGCCCCTGGATGCTGTACATAGTTAATGTTGACTGTTAACTGAGAGGGTAGAGATTCAAGTCCACCCAGAGGTACCACGGAATAAAGACCTGGCAATCTTTTCTAAATCCGCTGTTGATAGCCCATGGAGCAGCTACACTGGGTGTAGCTCACAGGGGTGCTGTGAGCCAGGATTCACCCAAGGACAACGAACAGCAAGAACCATGCAAGTAGACAGTCCACTCCTTTCATGGCCTCCCAGTCTAGTGGACATTTATGGACAGTCAGGCTCATACACAGTATGTCATTGCAAGGCACAGGATGAGGACAGAGGGGAACAGTATCCCAAAGCTAACATGAGAGCTAGCTGAAGTAGTATGGGTCCAAGATGGGCCAGGGATGGTTTACCATAGAGGTAGTGGTGAGCAGGCCTCGAAGAACAAAAAAGGCATTCACCGGGATGGGAAATGGTGAGGTGGGAATGAGCTGTCCAGGGCTGGGGCAGAGTGGCTTTTGAGGAACTGGAGGCGAGCCAGTGTGGCCGGAGCACGGAGAACCAGAGGCAGTGAGTCCTAGGAGAAAACCCAAGGCTATGGGGTTTCTAGCACCTACTGTGTGCCAAGTATGGGCAGGCTTGGCGACATTGTGGGTCCCGCTGTAGACCACCACAATAAAGCGGATACTGCCATAAAGCAAGCCTCATGGAGTTTTTGGTTTCCCAGTGCATAGACAGGTCATATTAGCATTAGATGATCATCTCATAAAGGATCCCTGGTGGCACTGTGGGGTAAGCACTGGGTTGTCTACCACCAGGTCAGCAGTTCAAATCTACCAGATGCTCACCAGGGAGCATGATGAGACTGTCTGCTCCCATACAAATTTACAGCCTCAGAAACCTTATATAGGGTCGCCATGAGTCAGGTTTAAAGAGATCACAAGGGACCCCGGTATTGAAAAGGTTCGTGCTCAGCTGCTAGCTGGAAGGTTGGTAGTTTTAGAACCTACCTGGTGACTTTGCTCGAGAAAGACCACCTCATTCTATCAAGATGGCAGCCTAGAAAACCCCACCTGGAGTTCTGCTCTGCCACACGGGGTCACCATGACTCAGAGCCAACTAAACAGCAACTATCAACATCAGTAGATAAGCCACCAAGGCAGATGTCAGGAGAAACCTCAGTAGAGACTTCTAGAAGGAACAGGCTTGCGCCGTCTGCAAAGCCTGACTGGGCTCCAGAAAAAACAAACCCAAACATAGATTCTTGGGTTCCCACCCCAGAGGTTCTGATTCCCTGCAACTGAAAGTGAGGCCCAGGCACTGTATTCAGGATTTGGTGCAGAATTCTCTTCTCATGCCTCAGGCCCCTCAGTAACTAGCTCCTGCTAGCAGTGTTTAGGGAAAAGCAGAAGGTACCCCTCCCAAGGCCAGCTTCTCTGACCCTCCTGTGTGTAACTAAGGGCCACTGTTTTTGAAAGCACAGATTCAGAACTTCTCCATCTTCACAGTAAGTTCTGCCCTAGACGGTTTGACCTGAACACTCCTCTCCCTACCTATACAAGCTGGCATGGTGGGTGGGCATCAGCAGGGCATGGGAAGGTTGGCCAGTAAGCATTATGGTTCCTATAACTCAGGCCCGGGGAGGCATGGTGATGCAGTGGTTAAGTACTAAAGATTGGTGATTCCAAGCCACGTGAAAGATCAGGCAGTCTCCTTCTATGAAGATTTACAGCCTTGGAAACACCACAGGTGTTTCTACTCAGTCTTACAGAGTCACTAGGAGTCAATATTGATGGCAGGAGTGGTTTTTGTGGGGAGATGGGGTGGAGGGGCGGGTTATGACTTGAGTGGATCCTGGTGTGGTCTTTTAGGATAAGCACAAGGTTGGTAGTTCAAACCCCCAACTAGCCACTCCTTAAAAACTCTGTACATCGTCACTATAAGTTGGAATGGACTTGATGGTATTTGACAACAACATGATTTGATTCCAGCCTATGCTCACAACAGCTCTGTGAGAGGACCATTCATTATACCCATTTTACAGAGGAGAAAAGCAGAGGCCTAGAAATGGGAAGTTACTTGCCCAAGGTTTCACTGCGGAGCTAACATTAGAGCCCAAGTTTATCCTTTAGTGAGTGTCAGTGAAGGAAGACTTTGCCACCAGGAGGAAGAGTTTCCATGCCTGAGGGAACAGCTTATCCAGTGGCTCTGAGGTTGGAGGAAACTGGTCTTTTTGAGACCCGAGAGAATGTCAGTGTGGGCCCAAACAGAGAGGAGGTGTGAGAGAGTTGGGCCGAAAAGTGATGAATTGGAAAATGTTGGTTTGTGTGATTTCTTTACAACAAAAAGACTTAAAAATATCAATCAGAACCATGGTCTCAGGGAACGTGAAAGTCAACTGACATAGCACGGTCTGCAAAGATAGCGTACTCCATGACTGTTATGGTGACTAGCAACTGGGGTGTTAAAAGTGTGTGGACAGTTATCTAAAGTGCAAATACCGGTGTCTCCATTCAGAATCAATGAAGAGTAAAGAAACTCAAAGGCACATGAAAACGATTAGTCTACGAATTGACGGGGCAAACCCCATCCTTCTGAGACCAGAACTAGATGGTGCCTGGCTACCGCTGCCTACCACTCTAGAAGGATAATGTTAGAAGGTTCTGGATAGAGCCAGAACTCAAACCCAAACCACTGAGTCCATACCAACTCATTGTTGTTGTAATATGCCTTGGAGTCGGTTCCGACTCATAGCAACCCTTCACAGGGTTTCCGAGGCTGTAAATCATTACGGGAGCAGAAAGCCTCATCTTTCTCCCTCGGAACGGCTGGTAGTTTCGAACTGCTGACCCTGAGGTTCACAGCCCGATTCGTAACCACTACGCTACCAGAGCTCCTTATTACCTACTCATAGGGAGGGCTATAAGATAGAGTAGGACTGCTCCTAAGGGTTTCCAGACTGTAAATCTTCAAGGGAGCAGAGCCTCAGCTTTCTCCCTGAGCCACGAGTGGTTTTAAACGGCTTACCTTGCAGTTACCAGGCCGGTGGTGGTAGTTGCATGCCGTGGAGTTCGACTCATAGTGACCCAGTTATAGGGTTTCCCAGGTTGTAAATCATTACGAGACAGACAGCCTCATCGTTTCTCCCGTGGATTGATTGGGAGAAAGATGGGGAACAAGACACACATTTTTTTCCAAGGTGGGAGGGCTGGAGTCAGCCTGGAGGTGACAAGGAGTTAGGCCCGAGGCCTCCTCCCCTGTCCTGGTGGCTGGACCCTGGCTCTGACGGCGGCCTCTTCCTTCCCACTCTCCTAGGTCGTGCACACTGGTGAGAAACCCTACTGCTGCCTGGTCTGTGAGCTCCGCTTCTCCTCGCGTTCCAGCCTGGGCCGCCACCTCAAGCGCCAGCATCGCGGGGTGCTCCCGTCCCCGCTGCAGGCGAGCCCGGGCCTGAGCGCGCCCTGCTCCGCCTGCTGCAACGTGGGACCCTGCGCGGTGTGCGGGGGGACAGGAGGCAGTGGCGGCGAAGGCCCTGAGGGTGCGGGCGCCGGCCCAGGTGGCTGGGGGCTGGCGGAGGAGGCGGCGGCCGCAGCGGCGGCGTCTCTGCCTCCGTTCGTTTGTGGAGCCTGCGCGCGGCGCTTCGACCAGGGTCGCGAGTTGGCGGCTCACTGGGCGGCGCACACCGACGTGAAACCCTTCAAATGCCCGCGCTGCGAGCGTGACTTCAACGCGCCCGCGCTGCTGGAGCGCCACAAGCTGACGCACGACCTGCAGGGTCCTGGGGGGACCCCAGCTGCCGCCCAGGCTTGGGCAGCCAATGAGCGGGGTGGCCCCGAAGTGAATGAAGCGCCCCCGGCCTGGGACGGCGGGTTACCCCTGGGCCCCGCGGGGGGCGGCGTGCCGGAGCTGGGGGCGCTGCTCCCCGAGGGGGGCGGCGAGGCCCCGGCACCCCCGGCCGCCACCGAGCCCTCGGAAGACACCCTTTACCAGTGCGACTGCGGGACCTTCTTCGCGTCAGCCGGGGCGCTCGCCAGTCACCTGGAAGCGCACTCGGGTCCGGCCACTTATGGCTGCGGTCACTGCGGAGCGCTCTATGCGGCCTTGGCGGCCCTGGAGGAGCACCGGCGCGCCAACCACGGCGAGGGCGGCGAGGAGGAGGCAGCCGCGGTGACACCCACGACAGTGGCCCCGGATGGGGAGCCCGTGTCCAGGGAGCCCGCATCTGGCTCGGGCCGCAGCAAGAAGATTTTCGGCTGCTCGGAGTGTGAGAAGCTCTTTCGTTCGCCACGAGACCTGGAGCGGCATGTGCTGGTGCACACAGGGGAGAAGCCATTCCCATGCCTGGAGTGTGGCAAGTTCTTCCGCCACGAGTGCTACCTCAAGCGCCACCGGCTGCTGCATGGCACCGAGCGGCCCTTCCCCTGCCACATCTGTGGCAAGGGTTTCATCACGCTCAGCAACCTCTCACGTCACCTGAAGTTGCACCGGGGCATGGACTGAAAACAGCCGCCACGTACCTACCTGGAGGGTACCGAACTCAGGGCCCCAGGGAGTGCCTGGGGACCTCCCAAATCCAGATACAGGCCCGGAGCCAAAAGGAGACCCCTGGCTGGAGAGACGGGGCCATAAATACTGATCCAGGACCCCGAATTTGGGGGACCTGGGTACAGGTACACGTGGGACCACAGGTAAACCAGAGGTTCTTTGGCCAGCGAGTCCAGAACAAAATAGTTCCCCAAGACTGTGGATGGAGAGCCTCTTGAGTTTGAGACCCTTGGGATATAGAGGGTACCCCCAGATCAACAGGCTGGGAGAACCTAGCAGAGAACTGAGTTCCCACAACCACCCCCTCATCTCAGTGGTCCTACTTATAAAAGACGCCCCCCGCCCCATCCACACGGGACAACAACCCTATCACCTGAGAACCTCCATACTCAATGAACTTGGTCTGGGGAATGTGGGAGGGGCCAGATCCTGGAATTTCCCTGGACCTCCCTACCCCCAAATGTTATCCACCACAAACCACTACGATAGTGCCCCCAGAAAACGGATACCGCTGGAATCTGCCTTCCCCCATTTCATTCCTGACGCCGAAAGAGGACCAGGGTGGATGTTCCCTGACCCTCCCGGTCCCTCAAATTAGGTCTCCGTCCCCTACTGTGGAATGGACTGGCCCTAACAATCTAACTCCACCCCCCAAGCACTAGAATAGGCTGGCCTGAAGTCTGCCTGCCCAGTAGAATGGACCGGCCCAGGCAGTGACCAGCACCACGCCCTCCCTAGAGAGAATCAGGCAGATGGTCCTCCCTTTCCTGTAGAGTGGACTTGGTCCACGTTGCTCCCCATTGAGTGGGGTGGGAGACAGGGCAGGAATTTTCTGCCCTGTCTGCTGTAGCACCTGTCTGTCTTTCCATCTCTGTTGATTTGTCTGTCTCTGTGTTCCTCTCAACCCTAAGGGGAAGGGAGACTCGGTTAGGGGTCTCCCCTACTTGTTAGTCTCAACCTCATCCCACTCCCAATGTGTCCAGAACCCTAATAAACCTTGTCTTGTCAATCTACTGCCATCTGCCTCGTTTTCTGATTTTTGGTTCTAGTAGGGACAGGGAATCTCGCTCTGCAACAGCCGGCTTCCTAATAAATGATTGTTGTTGTTAGGTACTGACTTATAGCGACCCTATGCACAACAGAACAAAACACTGCCCGGTCCTGGGCCAATCTCACTACTGTTGCCACGCTTGAGCCCATTGATGCAGCCACTTGGCCAATCCATCTCACTGGGGTCTTTCTCTTTTTCTCTGACCCTCCACCTTATCAAACATGATAGCCTTCTCCAGCGACTGGTCTCTCCTGACAATATGGCCGAAGTATGAGAGATGAAGTTTGGCCATCCTGGCCTCCAAGGAACACTCTGGCTGCACTTCTTCCAAAATGTATCTGTTGGTTCTTTTGGCAGCCCATGGCACTTTCACTATTCTTCTCCAAGACCATAAATCAAATGCATCATTTCTTCTATGGTCTTCCTTATTCACTGTCCAGCTTTTGCATGCTTATGAGGTTATTGAAAATATGATTTGTCCTAATAAATAGACAGCTGTTAACTCCCTCTCGAGAAATTCTGAGTCCCTTTCAAGCAGAGACCATTTTGTTGCTGTTAAGTGCCGTTGAGTCGGTTCCGACCCATAGCGACCCTGTATAGAGTTTCCAAGGAGCAGCTGGTGAGCTTGAACAGCCGACCTTGCAGTTCAAACGGCTTTGCAGCTTGGTGCATTAACCCACAGCGCCACACCGGGAGACTATTTACATCCCATTTAAATGGGACTCTGCCCCTTAAACACAAAAATCCACCTCCAGTAGACTGGACGCCCACTGCAGGAATTAGGCACGCCCCTTGAGGAGGAGACACACCCTCTAGAAGCCTAGGAGTTGGACACGCCCCTTAGAAGCAAGGCTCACCGCTTCAGAATCAGGACCACCACCTGGAAACCAAAATGCCTCCTTAGATACATGTTTCTATCCCTGGTAGCTAAGGAGCCCTGGTAGTGGGTTACACATTGAGCTACTACATTGATGGATTCAAACAGCAAAGTCAGCAGTTCGAATCCCCCAACCATCACTCAAGAGAAAAATGAGATTTTCTGCTCCCCTGCGGCGCTGTGGGTTAATGCACCAGACTGCAAAGCCGTTTGAACTGCAAGGTGGGCAGTTCAAGCTCACTAGCTGCTCCTCGGAAACTATATGGGGTCGCTATGGATCGGAATCCACTCAATGGCACTTAACAACAACAAAGATTTATGCCCTCGAATACCCTACATGGTCTCGCTATGAGTGGGAACCAACTCCACTGCACACAACAACATCGTCTCTACCCCTTAGCTTGTTTATGGCAACGAAACGTGTACCTTAGACGCATTGTACACTCCCATCAGCCTGTTACAGTCTTCATGGATTGAGCATTCTTTGCCAGGCACAGAACTCACCATGAGCAAAGTAATTTCAAAAGGTCAGTCCTCTGAAGGAAATAGAGCTCAGAATGAGAAATTGAGAGATTGGGCTGTGCCCCCCTAGATGGGGTGGTCAGGGTGGGCTGCTCTGCGGAGGGGGCATTTGATCTGGGCCCTACGGGATGAAAGGGGGCTGTCCAGTAGGCCTGAATGGGCCCAGAAGGGGAGGAAGACATGAGATGACATCAGAGGTGGGTAGGGAATAAGACAGGGGCTTGACTCTGATTGCCAGGCAATGGAAAGCAAGATTGTGTGTGTGTTTTGAAATACATACGTAATAGAACATTTTTGCCAATTTGACAATTTTGATTCTGTTCATCATGTACAACCACAATCATTCCACTTTTGTTGTTAAATGTCCTGTGCTCTCAAGTTGATTTCCACTCAGTTGCTGTTAGATGCCACAGAGTTGGTTGTCAACTCGTAGTGACCCCAAGCAAAGCAGAAGGAAACCCTGCCCAGCCCTGAGCCATTCTTACAATTGTCGTGTTTGAGCCCAATGTTGCTGCCACACTGTCAACCCATCTCATTGAGGGGCTTCCTCTTTTTTGCTGACCCTCTACTTTGCCAAGCATGATGTCCTTTTCCAGGGACTGATCTCGCCTCATAATATGTCTGAAATATGAGAGACGAAGTCTGGCCATCCTGGCTTCCAAGGAGCACTGACTGTTCTACTTTTACATAGATTCTTTTGTTCTAGCAATCTACAGTACTTTCAGTCTTCTTCTCCAGCATGATAACTCAAATGCATCAATTCTCTTATGGGCTTCCTTATTCACTGTCCAACTTTCACATGCCTATGAGGCTATTGAAAACACCATGGCTTGGGTCAGGCGCACGGTAGTCCTCAAAAGGAGATCTTGGCTCTTGAACACTTTAAAGAGGTCTTGTGCAGCATATTTGTCTAATGCAGTGCTTGATTTCTTTCTTTCTTTTTTTCCCCTTTATGAACATTTTTTTGTGCTTTAGGTGAAGGTTTCCATGACCTTGCTTGATTTCCTGACTGCTGCTTCCATGAATGTTGATTGTGGAACCAAGCCAAATGAAGTCTTTGACAAATTCGACCTTTTTGATTTATTTTATATTTTTTGCACCGGACGAAAGCCATATTATTATTTTTTTTGTCTTTATTTTATTTTTTAACTTTTTACTGTGAATTGAGTGAAGGTTTACAAACAAGATCATCAGTTTTACATTCAACGAATCATATACTTTGTTTCATCTCAAGGATTACAATTCCCCCATGCAACAAGTTATCCTGCTTCCTCTTGTCTGTGGTTCCTGTTTTTATTCAACCCACCTTCCCATCCCTTCTCAACTGTGTCCTTAGGCATATTGATTTAGGCTCTTTGGATTTAGAATGATTGACCGTTTTATGGGGAGCTGAACTTGCTAGTGGTTTAGTTCCCCTATAAGCTTATCTACTGCTTGGTTGAAAACTGGGACACGAGGGGTCTTTTCACCATTTATCATGATGCTATTTATTGGTCCATTTGTGAGAGTTTTTGTGTTCTTTACATTGGTGTGCAATCTATACTGAAGACAGTGGTCTTTGAGCTTTGTCACTTAAGTCCTTTTCACTTTCAGCAAGCAAGACTGTATCACATGCATTTTGCAGGTTGTTAATAAGTCTTCCTCTAAACCTGATGCCACACACTTCTTCATATAATCCAGCTTCTTGGATTATTTGCTCAGTATACAGATTGAATAAGTATGGTGAAAGAATACAGCCCCCTGGCGCACATCTTTCCTGATTTTAAACCATTCAGTATCCCCCTGTTCTGTTTAAATGTCTACCTCTAGGTCTATGAAATTTAAACAGAACAAGGACCAATAAATAACAAAATAATGAAGAAAAGATTGAAGTTGTCAGTGACTTAATTTTGCTCAGATCAACCATCAACACTTATTGAAGCAGCAGTCAAGAAATCAAACGACGTATTGCATCAGGCAAAATCTACACGAGACCTCTTTAAAGTGTTCAAGACCAAACATGTCAGTTTGAGGACTAAGGTGTGCCTGACCCAAGCCATAGTATTTTCAATAACCTCATATGCATGGAAAGTTGGGCAATGAATAAAGAAGACCGTAGAAGAATTGATGCATTTGAGTTATGATGTTGGAGGAGAATATTAAAAGTACCATGGGCTGCCAAAAGAACAAACCAATCTGTGTTAGAAGAAACACAGCCAGATGCTCCTTAGATGTCAGGATGGCCAAACTTCATCTCTCATACACTTAACATATTATCAGGAGGGACCAGTCACTGGAGAAGGACATTATGCTTGGTAAAGTGGAGGGTCAGTGAAAAATAGGAAGACCCCCAACAAGATGGATTGACACAGTGGTGGCAGTAATGGGCTCAAGTGTAGCAATGATTGTGAGATTGGTGCAGGATTGGGAAGGGTTTTGTTCTATTGTGCAGAGGGTGCTATGAGTTGGCATTGACTTGGCGGCACCTAACAACGTGTACATACAGGTTCCTCATGAGCACAATCA